TGTTGACTACTAACATGCGCAGTTAGTTTATTGACCGATACAATGTAAAGCTAGATTAAATATTAAATCCATAAATGTTCAACCCTTTTGATTCTTGTAGCAACTAGGAGTGTATGGTTTGTCGCATCGAAACTAATGACTCTTAGGAAGATTGTTTAACTAGATTAAATGCCACTACATGTGTTGTGTTCTCTTGTTTTGTTGGTCTTTCTCATACATAAAACTATTGTTTGATTAAATCTTAGATCGTATCTAGGATTGTTAAATAATAAGGGTTAACTAGAATACATATTTTTAGTTGGCTAATCATAAAGAAATATTGATTTTAATATCATAATAAATATTTGAATGGTAAATTGATAGTTTTGCACATCAAGGACAAATCTTAAGTTCCAAAAGTTGATGTGACATGAACCAAGGTCGTTTATTTGAATACTTATCGTTACATTCAATTTCTGAATTTAATTTGTTTAGTTTTGATTATATCTCAATCGAATCCAAAACCCCTTCTTTATTTTAGTTTCTTCTTAATTTATAATGACTAACGCAATAGAACTCTTCGTGAGATCGATCCCTACTCTCTCTTACTAGATAGGCACACACAAGAGCATGAAAGCATGGACACGTTAAAAACCACAAAAATAGACAACGGACCTTAACTAGAAGATAAATTCTATTGTAATTTACCCGACGGAAGACTAGGATTCTCTAAGAGGGCGAGAGAGGAATGACAATTTTGTACCCTTTTTGGGAATTAGGAAACCCATATAAATAGGAATGTGGCAGAATAGGGTAGACACTTTTTTATCATTTTTAGGTTGTCGGCTTCATTTCTTTTCCTCCCTTCTCTCCCGATAGCTGCAATGAATATTGTCATGAGCAGTTAAACCCCCTCCCTTGGGTAAAGGTAAATGAAGCTTTTGGAAATAAAAGATTTTGAAGTGCTTGAACATTAATGCAAATCATTTTATCCATTTCAAGTATTAAAATTTCTTCTATGCTTATTTTTCATGATTATTTATGTTGATTACTAACATGCGCAGTTAGTTTATTGATCGATACAATGTAAAGCTAGATTAAATATTAAATCCATAAATGTTCAACCCCTTTGATTCTTGTAGCAACTAGGAGTGTATGGTTTGCTATGTCGAAACTAATGACTCTTAGGAAGATTGTTTAACTAGATTAAATGCGACTACATGTGTTCCGTTGTCTTGTTTTATTGATCTTTCTCATATATAAAGCTATTGTTTGATTAAATCTTAGATCGTATCTAGTATTTTTAAATAATAAGGGTTAACTAGAATACATATTTTTAGTTGGTTAATCATAAAGAAATACCGATTTTAATATCACAATAAATATTTGAATGATAAATTGATAGTTTTGCACACCAAGGACAAATCTTAAGTTCCAAAAGTCGATGTGACCTAAACCAAGGTTGTTTATTTGAATACTTATCATTACATTCAATTTGTGAATTTAATTTGTTTAGTTTTGATTGTATCTCAATCGAATCCAAAACCCCTCTTTATTTTCGTTTCTTCTTAATTTGTAACGACTAATGCAATAAAACTCTTCGTGAGATCGATCCTTACTCTCTTTTACTAGATTTGTGTTGCAAGAGTTTAGGAGTTTAATTTGGGTGTACACGATAAGCATCGCCAAGCACCACCTTATAGTCTCCCTTACTTCTAGCAGCTTCACTATCGCCACGACCCACAAAATTATCCAATCCAACCCTTCACTTGACACCCATATCTTGTAGAAAATCCCCCACCATGATAATAGGGGAACCAACCAAGCATTCATATATATATATATGCATAAGTCACAAAATAAAAAGGGAGGTAAAAAAAAAGCGAATAATAAAAAAAAGGGAAATCGGTAGCAACAAGAAAGAAAAAATACGAAGAAAAAAAAAAGAGAGATCGAATTTACTTGGAACCCGAGCTACATCTCACTTCAATTAGACCCAAATTGACTCTAGGTAATCCCTTTTTAATTTCCCTAATTTTGTTTTTTGTCGTGAATTTAAATTCCGAGTTAAATTTGATGCTTTTTGAATTCGGTTTGAAATCGAGGTTGGAAAACACTAATTAAGTCTAATTGAGGTCAATTAGAGTTTCAATTTGGGATTTAAAACCCAAATTAAAGCTGAATTAACTTCAATTAAAAACTACGGAGTTCTTGATTTTTTTTTTGAACAAATTGAATTAGGGGTTGGGGGTTTTTTAAAATTTGACTCCTAAAGTTTTTGAATTGACTTGATTTCCAGAGAAATCAAGTCAATTAGATCAATTGAACGAAAAAAAAAAAGAAAAGGAAAACTTAGGGTTCAAATAAATTTGAGGAAAATTTTCTAAAATTGATTTGGGGCTTTTGATCTCATTTGAAGAGAGGGGTTAATAGAGTGTATATATATATATATATATATAATCAAGTGGCCATGTACGAACCTCCACTAGTTCATCCATAGCACCCTTGCCCATAAGAGAAAGAGAGAACGGACTTAGGAAAAGAGAAAAGGGAAAGAAAAGGAAAGAGAAGAGAAGGAAGAGGAAAGGAAAAAGAGAAAAGGAAAGGACATGGAGGGACGAACCTCTACTCGGTTCGTCCATGTTGGTTCTAGTGGAGAAGAAGGAAAGGAGAAAAAAAGAAAGGGAAAAGAAGAAGAAGGGAATCGGATGACAAAGAAGAGAAAAGAGGGACCTTGATCCGAATTGATTTAGGGAAAAATTAAATATTGTTTTAGTCTTGGGTCTAGCCAAATGAAGGGAATGGGTTGGATCGAGCCCAACCCACATGAAGTCGGGTTGGATTTCAATCCACCCCTTTTCCTTAAAAAAAAAAAAAAATTGGGTGGGCTAGACTTTCAAGTCCGCCTCTTCCCCATAAAGAAATAACAAAAGGGGTTGGACGAGTCCAGCCCTCCCCTCCTTATCTCAAAAAAAAAAAAAAAAAAAATCAAAAAATCAAAAAATCAAAAAATCAAAAAATAAATGTGTTTTTTTTATTATGCATGTTTGTAATTAATTTAAGTATTGAATTTTCTTTTACTATTTTAATTAATGTAATTTTAAGTTTAAGTTTATTTATCCATGTTAGTTAGCTTATATTAATTTAGAATTTTTTATTTTAATATTTTGTAATTGTTTTAATTTAACCTTGAATTTATTTTATGCATGCCTATTATTTAAATTTTAGTATTTGAATTTTCTTTTATTCATTTGATTGGTGTGGCTTTAATTTAATTTTTTAGTAATCGTGCTCAATAATTAATGAGTAGAGGATTTTCAAGTCTCCTAATTCTTTAACAATTGATGACTATTTTTCATCAAATAAAAAGGAAAGGAAAAAAGGAAAAAAATAAAAAAAAACGTTATTATAAACTTTTAACAAAGTCTCTTATCCGATAGGGACTATTGTTAGCCAAAAAATCATTTTTAATAAACAAGTGTTCTCCGACACACCAATTGTGTCGAGACTCAAAAAGTGGATCCGATATTTGAACTAACGTGTCTCCCGATGAAAGGGATCCGACGATTGTTTCAATACGATGCCATGCTAAAAAATAAAAAACTTAATTTGGCTTGAGATAAAGGGCTTGTAAAAATTGGGGTTTTAAATTGAAAAATAATTTGGTAAAAATAAAATACTTTAGGAGATGAATTTAGGACTAAACCGGACGTGATACCTTTCTTAGGAAAGGACGTTTTTGGGTGATTAAATATCTTTCCAAAAGTGTAACCAAACTCTCTACCCTAGAATCTCCGGTCTAGTGCCCATTTTAGGTTCTTAGTTCCTTCAATATTAGATGACGACTCCAAAATCTATAAATAAATACAAAAAATAAATAAAATCTTAAACTAGATTTTTTTTTAGAGTTCTGTCCGACGTCGAGTAGCGACAAACATTATAGAACCAATTTATTTGAAATAAAATAATTCAAATAATTTTTAAAGAAACCAATTAATTATTCCAATATAATTTTTATGCCAATTTTATTGATTATTTTGTAAATAAATATATAAAGATCAAATGCATACACTTTTAAAAAATAATCTTCTCATCAACATTAAATGAGAATAAAATTTTATTTTTTTTAGTTAATTTTTGTGAAAGTCTATACATTAATTGTAACTTTATTTTTTGGAATCATTCTTATAAAAAATATATATATTTTTAAAGTATTTGTTTTTGAATTCTTAATTAATATTTTAGGTTTAAATTATTATAAGTTTTTATTTAAAAATCGTTGAATAAAGAAGAATATATCATTTTTAAAGTAGAAATTTTATGAAAAACACACAAAAAAATTAGTAATAATTAAATAAAAATTATTGAAAAATTGTATATTTTGAAATGATTTTGTTTTATCTACCCACGTAATGTCACCGATAATTTCAAAAATTAATCTTCTCATGAGCATTACATAAGAATTTTTTTTTCATTTGTTAATTTTTATAAAAGTCTGATCATTAATTATAACTTTATTTTTTGAAATATAATATTATGAAAAATATATTTTTTAATTTTTGATTAATATTTTAGTTAAAATTATTATATTTTTTATTTTAAAATCAATTAATAAAGAAGAGTGATTTTTTTAAAGCAAAAAATTTATGAAAAAATATTAGAAAAAATTAATTAAATAAAAAATATAATTAAAAAGATTATAAAATTATAAAATAATTTTATTCCATCAAACCTTCAACGTAGCATGGGTAACTCGATCGGTGAACCTACTAAACTACACTTAACTTCAACAAAAAAGACACAAATATGGTTTTATTTGAAGCGGGCCTATAAGGCCATTATTTCGTTACATAGCACCATTTCTATAGTATTGGATGCTCATCAAGCCCATTGGCGCTTAATCTACAAAAGAGAGGAGAGCAACTCTCCTAGCCCTAAAACCTGGCCTCATAACTTCCACATTTATTTTGCACTTTATACTTCATAGTAGATAGAGGGCATAACACTGTTTTATTGCCTAGTTAATTATAACCATGATTACCAATTCTCCACAAAGGGGTAAAGTTCGTATCTAACATTGCAACTCCCCCTACAACCCTCCCTCCTCGCTTACCATCACAACAGCTTGGAAGTTCATTTATGGCACCATCAAGGCACTTCTTACAATCAAGGCTAGAAAGATCTCTAGTGCATTGAGCCAAACCATACAGTTTTTTGGATGCACCAAGGTCTAGCTCTCCTGTGGCATAAAACTTGGTGCCCACGTAAGCTTTAATAGATAAGCTGCTTAATAAAACCTTAACTTTCCTATTGAACACGGTAGGCTTGTCTACATCTTGAACATTGTACAAATAGAACTTGTTTTGATTATCAATGTCTCCAAAGAAATTTGTGCTTGAGTACTTAACCAGGCAGTAATCATACCAAATTATTGCTCCTCTTTTATCAGGGCATCGGTCGCGGATCTCTTTGCCGGCATCAGTGATGCAAGTTTTACATTTCGTGGTGGACACATCACCTCGGCATAAGGCTAATCCATTTGCATGGTTTTGGCTTTGGCCAATGGAGCCAAGTCCGAATCCTGTAGGAGGGACTTTGGCAGATAAAAGAAGTAGCAAGTCATTCAAGTTATTGCGATAAGGACTATTGTAAGCAGTGTAGTTTTCTTGGCTAAAACAAAAATGATAAAGAGGGTCATCACAAATTGCTACATTGAGCATAATAGAAAAGAGTAGGAAGATTAATGGAATTGATCTTGAGAAATGCATGTTGGATTTGAGTTGAAAGATTGGTTAGAGTAGATATGTGTCTATTGGAGGAGGACTACGTACTCCCTTTATATAGATAAAATTTATTATGCATTGGCTAATTGGGATAGGAATGAAAATTTTAAGTGGCATCTTATCAACTTCAATTTAAAAATAAGTTTGGTTTCAAATCATTCTCTTTATTATGAAAGGATTGTCTTTTCTACTTTTTATACCCATCAAAAAAGTTACTAATATATATATATATATAATTTTTTTTAGAACAAAGAAAGTAATTGAATAAGCCTATCATCTAAGAATTTAAATAAGTTCTCAAATTAAAATTTATTGACTCAAATGTCACCCTTGTACAATTCTTATTTCTTAAATCAATTATTCTTAGAAAACATATCATATATTGAATGTTTAGAAAAAATAAGTGACATAGAAAGTTGAGAAAATGTCACCCGTTATATATAAAATTTAAATCTTTTGGATAAAATCTAATTTTAACCAGTTAACTTTATATAGTATCGGAATTTAAATAAGATCGTCGATTGACCGATTAAAAAAAAAAAAAAGGTTGCAAGTAAGGAGGAATATTAGAGCACATATCTCACATTAAATAGTTAAACAAAAAATGAGTGATATATAAATTGGAGAAATGATCACCTATCATAAGACTTAAGTTTTTTCGATAAAATCTAATTTCATCGAAAAAAACTTAATATAGTATCGAACTTCAATAAGATCGTCGATTAACAAATCCAAAAAAAAAAAAAAAAAAAAAGGTTGCAAGTAAGGAGGAATATTAGAAGACATATCTCACATTAAATAGTGAAATAAAGAATGAGTGATATATAAATTTGAAGAATAATCACTTATCATAAGACTTAAATTTTTTCGATAAAATCCAATTTCAGTTATTTAACTTTATACTTATCAATTCAAACAACATTGTACATCGAACAATTGACTTGATGAAATTAATTTTGATGAAAATAACGTCTTTGATTCATGTTAATTTATCAAAGAAATAAAAGTACCAGGTTGCGTGATATAAAGATACGTGGAATCAAAATCTCATTAACTTTCCTAAATTCAAAGTGAAGGATTCACATATTATTTCTCAACCTTTAGGCTTAGCAGCATATATCAAGTCATTGTAAATTAGGCTACCTGCAAAATATTCGATTGCGCCGGCGTCTATCCCATCCAAGCAAGATGGTTGAAAACTTGGAATATTGTCCTTAAATGATTTTAAAAATAATTAATAACCATCAATTAAGCAATGATCCTCTTAATTAGTGGTTAGCCATGCATTAAAAAACAATAGGATTGGCCCTTTTATGTCAGAAAGTGCGGTCAGCTTAGTTATTGGACTTTGGCCAAGTTAGCATAAATTGGCAGACGTATGGATCTGACCCCATTATCCCATGGTAAGTGGGTTTTAGCTAGATTTTTTTCACAATACAAGGAGCGGAAATGGAACTACTTGATTTCCACTACCCAAGTCTTTATGTCAGTCTTCTAGATAAAAGTTGACAATTTTGCATCCAATGACTTTGCAATCTTCTCTATGTAATGCGGGGTGTCAAATTTGGCATTCAGAATAGTCTCAAGAAAAGTATGAGATTTTGGCTCTATGCTATTATTCTGCTTTTATAGGAAAAGAGATTTGTTTGTATCTCCTTTTTTTTCCCCTCTTTTATTAATGGAATTTTTTTTTCGATATTAAATTAAATAGTTGTAATTGAATTTTATTTAAAAAATTTAAATATTATGATTGATAATTTTTTTCTTAATTTTATATATTACATTGTTAATTATTTATTTATTCGTTGTTAAATAAGTTTTTTAAAATTTTCATCACTTACAACTTATTTTTGAGGATCTCTCAAGACTCTCCATCACTTATAATTTATTTTTTAAAATTTATCAAGTGATTGTCAGGTTCGAATTTTAGAATTTTTGATAAACTATTAAATCTTTTTAAAACTATAATACTCTCCATCAGTACATATTAGAGTTTCATAAAAAAAAAAAAAAACATAAATTTTGTTTCGCATGGTGTTTATATATATATATATATATATAAAATTCTATCAATAATTTATTTATTTATTTAACGTGAGATAAATTATTTAACTAATAAAAAAATATTTTTAGATTAATTTATGCGTGAATCGAACATTGATTTCCTACCAATCTTAAATTTTGAATAATATACGTATATAACAAAACCTTTTAACTACCAAATCAACACATGCATGTGCAGCCCCATGTAATCTGTCTGCTGTCTAAGAGGTGGGTCGGTAAATGCGAGGCAGTGTTTGAAATTCGGAGTGATCTCTTGAATTAGAGAGAAAAATCTGTATTTCTTAATAATTAGTGGAGTAGTGGGAAAGGTTTCTAAACTCACCTCCATACTTGCGGCGCGGTGGGACTCTCTCTCTCTCTCTCTCTCTCTCTCTCTCTCGATGCAACAATCAATGATGGAGCGATATTACTGAATTCACTGAATGCATCAACCAATTAGATAGCTTTAATGTATATAATTAAAGCTATGTAATTTTTGAAACTTGGGACGATTTTCCAAATCATTCGCTCGTGTATGCCTATATACTGGGATTGAAAATTAATTATATGAGATTCTGAATGATCGTAAATTAAGAATTTTTTATTTTAGATTAATTAGTTAAATAATTATTTTGTGAAAATATTAATATTGAACTACAAGCTCACACGTACAATTCTTGTAGTTTTAAAGTGTGTAATGAGTCTAATTAATAGATAAAGTCAAAGAGGGAGGGATGGGTAAAACCTTGAACACACAATACATATATATATATATATAGTTCGTCTTCAATTCTATAAACATCAGTTGATACCAACTTGTAGCTCTCCCGTGATCATTTTAGTCTCAAAAGAAGGGAATTCTAATATGTCAATGGTACCATTAATCAATGGGAGAAATTAAGTCATGAGATCTTACAACCACAGAGAACTTTTTATTCAACAATACATGAAAGTGAAATGCAAAGACATAAGAAAGGGTTTGCGTTTCCCTATGGTGGCCTTAATCCCTCAACATTCTCCCAAGTAGTTAAACATTGACAAAAGGGTATATTTCATATCTAAAATTGCAACTCCCACTGACAACTCTGCCACCTTCTTTCCCGTCACAGCAGCTTGGAAGTTCCCCAATTATACCATCAAGGCACTTCTTACAAACAGCACTAGAAAGATCCCTAGTGCACTGAACCAAACCATAGAGCTTGGTTGATTTTCCTAGCTCCGACTCTCCTGTTGCGTACAACTTGGGGGTCGCATGAGCTTTATTTGCAAGTTGGCTCAGAAGCTCTTTGGTCTTTCCATTGAATGGAACTGGCTCACTTACAACTCGCACGTTCCACATATAGAACTTGTTTCTATTATCAATTTGGCCAAAGAATTCATTGTTTGTGTATTTCAAAAGGCAGTTGTCATACCAAATGATGGCTGCTTTGTTGTATGGACAGCGCTTGCGAATCTCGCTGCTTGCCTCAACAACACAGGTTTTGCAATCTGAGGTTGAGACATCACCTCTACAAAGAGCAAGCCCATATGTTTGGTCCGGGTACCGGCCTATTGAACCCTGACCAAAACCTGTAGGCGGGGCCTGATAGTAGAGGTAACCAGTAAGCTTGTTTAGGTTGGATTCGTAAGGGCCATTGGCAGTGAAGTTCTCAGGAGTTGAACAGAAATGGAAAAGTGGGTCAGCTCCAAAAACACTGTGGAGAAGGAGAGAAAAGATTAGCAGACATAGAGAGGAGGCAAAGTTGGAGGAAGCCATAGTTGCAAGCACAGATTGATGGGTGTAAAGTTAGGACAATACTGGCATATATAAAGCCAAAACAGCATTGACTTTGGATGAGGTTAATCGGTTGACCCTCTCTTTTGTTTATTGGTGAAAGAACTTTCTTTTTGAATGTGCTATGTTTAAGGCAAGAAGTTTCAAAGAGTAAATAAATTATTCCTTATATATTTTCAATTCGAAATAAATTAATTAGTTTTTTATTTTAAAAACTAATTATTTAGCTTTTTAATTAGTATTAAACATCCTTAATTTAATATTATTTTATTTTAAAAAATATCATACTTTCTCGTTAATTTTTTTATTTTTTATTTCTTAAAATGAAAAATCAAAATAAATTAAAAAAGAAATAATTAATTTATAATTTAAAAATATAAAAACTAAATTATTTTTTTTTCAAATAAAAGAAACTGATTAATTTGGTTTTTTCTTTTTAAATAAAGAGATTAATTTATAATTTACTCTAAGTTTTAAATGTGAGCTAAGGAGGTTTGAACAGTTAATGAATGTGAAGTTTCGATTGAAGTCTAATCCTCGCATATTTTATCAATTTTTAATTTTTTTAGGCAACAAATATGATGTGTTTTCTAAAGAGAGAGAGAGAGAGAAAAAAAAACCATGAGTTCTCTTGAGTCTGAATACTGTGATGATATGATGTGAACAATTCAAATAACGAGGGAACTAATTACAAAAATATGCAAAGAAAAAAGATTAAAAAAAAAGAAAAAAGAGATTCATTTGATGAATTTTTTTTTTTTGGGGGGGGGGGTTATTGGAAGGTTTGTGAGTTTTGGATTTCATAAGGAAGGTAATTTTTTTTTTCATTATATATAATTATCAAATAAATTAAAGTTATTAGGTTTTGAATATGTTTCATTGAAAAAAATATATATAAATATTACTAAAAAAAATAAAGTAAAAAAATATTTTACTATTAATGTCACTATTTGAAATACTATTTAAACATTCACAAATCACTATTCACACACTCACAAATCATTATTCCTTTTATCATTCATGTCACTTTCGTAACACTTTGATCCTCAATTTTTTATATATTTTTTTAAAGTTCAAAATTTTAATTATATTATGATTTAATCTCATTTTGTTTTAATTTTCTTAATTATTTTTATTATTTAAAATTAACTACTTTAATTTTTTCTTTTTTTAAACTCTTTTTTTTTTCAATTTCAAACTTTAATTTGTTAATTATTTTTATTATTTAAAATTTACTATTTTAATTTGTCTTCTTTTTTTTTTTAATTCTCTTTTCTTTTACAATTTCAAACTTTAATTATTTTATGATTTGGTCCTATTTTGTTTTAGTATTTTTTAATTATTTTAATTATTTAAAATTTACTACTTTAATTTATTATTATTTTTTTAAATTTGCATCCAATTAATTTAAAATTATATTTACTACAGTCTTAATTTATTTTTCTATATGTATAGATTTTGAAATAAATTTTTAAAACATGATTATTTTTTCTTCGAAAAATAGATTTAGATACTTTTTAAATTACAGTAGAATGATTAATATATATAATTTTTTAAAAAATAAATTTTTAGATTAAAAATGTATTCCAAATAATTTTTTCTTGATTTTTTTGATATTATTTAAAATTTACTACATTAATTTATCATTCTTTTTAAATTTCAAACTTTAATTAGATTGTGATTTGGTCTATTTTATTTTATTTTTTTTGTTAATTATTTTTATTATTTAAAATTTACTACTTTAATTTGTCATTTTTTTTTAAATTCTCATTCAATTAATTTAAAATTATATATATTGAAAATTTGATTTATTTTTTTATATGTATGGATTCTGTAATAAATTCTTAGAAATGAATTTTTTTTTCTTTTGAAATATAGATTTAGATAATTTTTAAATTAATATATATAATTTGTTTGAAATACATTTTCAGATTAGAAGTGTATTTCAAATAATTTTTTTCTAAATTTTCTTATATTATTTAAAATTTACTACATTAATTTGAAATTTTTTTAATTTTTTTTTCAATTTCAAACTTTGATTATATTGTGATTTGGTCCCATTTTGTTTTAGTATTTTTTGTTAATTATTTTTATTATTTAAAATTTACTACTTTAATTTGTCATTTTTTTTTAAATTCTCATCCAGTTAATTTAAAATTATATTTATTGATATTTTTTATTTATTTTTCTATATGTATGAATTTTAGAATAAATTTTCAGAACATGATTATTTGTTCTTTGAAAAATAGATTTAGATAATTTTAAATTATAGTGGCATGATTAATATATATATAATTTATCTAAAATATATTTTTAGATTAAAAGTGTATTTTAAATAATTTTTTCTTGGTTTGTTTAGAAAAAAACTCAAATTAATTAATTAATAATTGAAAGTAAAATATAAAAAATAAAAAGAAAATGATTGCTCTACGCGTGAGGCTTGTATTCAAGGACTAGCCATGCATAACATAGAAATAAAAAAAAACATTTAAGAAGGAGGAAAAAAAGAATTCACATGCTTTATTAATTTGTTTCTTCTTTATATAATCAAAATTAATCAAAATTAAATTTGTAATAATTTTTATTTTAGTTTATTAACTTCAAATTTTGTCAATAAATTCTTTGCAAGTTAATTTTTTAATAATATTTTTTTTTAGACTAAAAAGTCTGAACTCACTTAGTATAGTTATAATGTATTAAAAAATATTGAATCGTTATTTTTTTAAAAGTTAACCGTGCAACTACTACTATACTAAGCATTTATTGTTTATTTATTTATTTTAAAATATTTTAAAATTAACTTATTTTAAACTAAATAATTAAAATTATATTTTGGCTTAACCACTCAATGATTCAAATTAATATATTTTTTACTTTAATATTATTCATTCTTTTGTAAATAAATATATAAAAATTAAATTCATATTTTTTCAAAAACCAATATTCTCATCAACATTAAATAAAAAAATAATTTGTTTAATTCTATGTAGGGTTTTAATAATTGTTATTTATTTTATTTTATTTTTTGACATAATCTTATAAAATATTAAAGTTTTTTTTAAAAAAAATTATTTAATTTTCGTTTTAGATAATACTCTATGTATTAACAAGGATAAATCCTTTTTCTAAAGGAAAAATTATGAAAAATACAAATAAGAAATATTTAAATACAAATTTTTTATTAAAAAATTATAAATAATTTTTTTCACATTTGATTTCATATATTTTTATAGATTCACATCATAAAACAAACTATTAAACTGAAATGATTTTTTTAAATGATTTTATATATTTTATCAAATATGCAGCATAGCACCGACAAAAAAAAAAAAACTAATATAAACGCTAAACATTCTCTACTTGTATTTTATATAATGATGATCATAATGGACAGAAAGCAATTAAAGATATGCTTAATGTTAGGCAGACTACCATGCATAAAGGAGTCCAAGTTCCTCTCGCACAACATCATGTTTCCATATTTCTTGTAATAGCGAGCCTATATATATATATATATATCTTCTAGTTTTGGGCATGCATATTGTCAAATAAATGCACTTGAAAATGTCAATATTACTGGAACTTTAACTAAATTAATTGGTAAGGCGATCATTAGTTCAAGTTGGCAAAGAATGGTCTGTGACTATAGTTTTAGTTTTAAATTAGATAATGTGAAAAAACTGTTTCAACACAAATTACAACTGAAGTTATTAAATAAAGTCTGAATAATAATAATTTTATATTACTTTTAATAGTTATTTTTTATAAAACTTTCCAATAAAAAAAAAAATCCAAAATAGAGTTATCTTCTTAAGCACAAGCCATTCTAAAAAAATGATTTATCTTCTAGTTTTGGGCATGCATATTGTCAAATAAATGCACTTGAAAATGTCAATAATACTAGAACTTTAACTAAATTAATTGGTAAGGCGATCATTAATTCAAGTTGGCAAAGAATGGTCTTTGACTATAGTTTTAGTGTTAAATTAGATAATGTGAAAAAAACTGTTTCAACTCAAATTAAAACTGAAGTTATTAAATACAGTCTGAATAATAATAATTTTATATTACTTTTAATAGTTGTTTTCATAAAACTTTCCAATAAAAAAATAATCCAAAATAGAGTTATCTTCTGAAGCAAAAACCATTCTAAAAAATGATATATATATTTATAGGGTGTTAAACAATGTTTTGCTTATATATATATACCTGTGCTCCTGCTAAGCGAATACCAAAAAATGCTTTTTTTAAAAAAAGAAAAAGAAAAAGAATGGTGAATAACAATATATAGTATTTGCTTCCTTGAAATGCTACCATCTTCTAGAAAAACTATGAAATTGTAGGTGATTTGATTGATAAGTAAACAAGGCTTAGGTGGTCCTGTACGTATTGCATACCATTCCAGGTTTGACAGAAAATGGGGAGCAAAACAAGATTTGTACACGATTTCTTTGTCTCTATATATAATTAATTTTTAGCTTGAGAAATCCATGGAATTTTTTTTTCCCCTTTCTGATTTGCTGTTTGCATGCACGATATTAGCCGCACCCCAAGAAAAATGGACAAAATAATAAGATCGACTGCCAAGAAATTTGAGCGTAATTAAATTTTGATTTGTTAACATCCAATATTTACCTCGTTTATTTTATTTCTATTTTTATTGTTGCAAAACACACACATATATATATAATAAACCAAAAAAAAAAGAAAAAAAATCACTTGAAACAAGTAGATGAGATTAATTCGAGGAGATAATTAAAAAAATAAAAAGTTTATAAATGAAAAAAAAAAAGTAACTGAGGATACAATTAAAAGATCTAAGACCTCATTCCTTTAATTAAAATAAAAAAATATAATAAAAAAAATAAAAAAATCCTAATTAATTGAGATTTAAGAGCACATGAAAATAAATAATCAAAATCGGACTTAAATTACTATATTATAGAGAATTAGAGGCCAAAACAAACGTTTACCTAAAAACTTGTAAAATTCTTATAAAACCCCCGTGCATTTTTTTTTTAAATACGAATTGCTGTAGATTCATCACTAACACAAAAAACTCATCTCCTTCGCCCAGCCGACTCTCTGCGACAGCCTCTCTCGCCCACAACCCGCTCTCGCAAACACCATCGCCCACCAGCCTCCCTCACAACCCTCCCCTCTCAAAGCCAACAACCTCTCTCGCCCACAAGCTCCTCGCGAGCAACCACATCCACAGCTTTGCCTCACAGCCTCTCTTGCCCACAACTCGCTCTCACAAACACCATCGCCCAACAGCCTTGCCTAGCAGCTCCTCGAGTGCGAGCTAGCACCAGCTCAGCAATCACCCCACGCAGTTCCTTGCTTACAGCTCACCAGCTGGTAGCCTCACAGTGCAGCCCACAGCGCCAGCACCTCCCAGCTACTAGCTCTCCCACGGCAGAGCCTCCCACAGCTGCCCTCACAACTATTAGCCTCACAGAGCAGCCCATAGCATTAGCACCCCGTAGCAGTAGCTCTCGCACGCTAGTGCCTCCCACAGCTGCTCTCACAGCCAGTAGCTCCTCGAACGCCAGTGCCATCAGCCCTCCCAACCCCTGCTTGCCAAGGCAACCACCCCACGCAACTCCTCACGTGCTGGTGCCAGCATAGCAGCCCTTACCAACGACCCCACACAATAGCTCTTGCTTGCCAGGCCATCACCCCCACGTATCTCCTTGCACGCTAGCACAAGTGCAGCACCCCCTCGAGCTAGGCAGCCTTTTTGCATCGTTCGAAACCACTTCCCATAAAAAAAATTACTATTTGATTGATTGTGTTTGGCAGGAATAACAAAGCGGTGTAAACTGTGTTTGTGTTGGTTTCTGACAGAAAAAAACATGGCAACTATTTTGTTGTGAAGTTCTCTCATGTTGCAACAACTTTGACCCTTTTTAGAAAAATTCAAGATTTTTAGGGTTATTGTAAAACTTACAAATAACTTTTGGCAAATTTATAATAACTTGACGATAACAATAACTTGGATTATTGGCATTGACCTTAGAGGGACCTTCAATCACCTTAGCGAGATCCATAGAATGTTTTGATACTAAGTAACTCGCTCTTTTTCCCGACTAACTAAACAATCAATTAGCATCGTGTACTTAGAGAGTATAATTGACCCTCAAATTAGATAATTGAACTATAGAATAGTTTTTGGTAAAACCCCTATAATGACCGTACTCCTTTAAAATTTGAACGAAATTATTACATTTCATTTATATTTTTAATGGTTTAAATATGGTTAAAGTGAATGTTGTTGTAATTGCCATTATGAACAAACTATTTTGTTTTACATCTCTATTCTTAATGCATAGTTTGTACCTATTTTTGTGGTTTGATTGATTTGGCATACTTGTTTGTAATGTGCCTAAATATGTAATAGTCATATCTAAAGTGTATCATCCAATTTTAGTGTTTTTTGAAGTCATTTTGAGTGTGTTCTCGTTTATCAAAAAACAAGCCACCACCGACTTCCCCACATATGTGGACGAAGTCGTCGATGGCCCCTAACCTATTTTTCTTCTAAAACTATTTATGAAAATGAAGTTATTGGTGACTTTTTATTTATGTGACAAAAACATCAACAATTTTGACATATTTTGCATACGTTCGTTTGTTAGAAAACATGCTATTAATGATTCCCCACTTATGTGGTTAGAGCCGCTACTAGCTCCCGAACTATTTTTATTTAATTTGAATTGCTAAAAAAAAAGAAGCTATTGGTGGCTTCTCACTTTTGTGACAAAACCACTAGCAGTTTCAAAATTATTTTATTTGTTTTTTGCTTGTCTAAAATGAAGTCATCGAAGGTTTCTCACTTATGTGACGAAGTCGTCGTAGTTTCTAAACTAGTTATCTACTCCTTGCTCGAGCAAAATAAAGTTATTAGTGGCTTTCCACTTATGTGATCAAGTTTTTATTAGTTTAGGTGCCCACAATCCAACCTTGATTGGATGGTTTAAGTTATTGTAACATTGTATTATTTATTTTATTAATAATAAAAAAAGTCTTTCTATTAATTCTTATTGTTTACATTTGTTTATTGAATAGGATTAGATAGAAGTCCATATTATATGCATCCGAATTAATGATTAATTGAAAGATGTGAGACAAACATTAATGCATTTAAATGATATAATTAAATGTCTCAAGTCATAGTATTATCAAGAATAGACATTGACTATATATAGTTAGACATGTGAGTGCTATGCTCATGCTATAAAATAGAAGTTAAAGATTTCACACCTATTGGTATGGTGATACCAAATCACACACTTATGTGATTTATATTAAAAAATATATCACTAGACTTAACTCATCATGAAAGCTCATTTGGTTTAGTTTATAGGAATCTTATACGAGATGAGTATAACTCGATTCTTAGACTTGAATTTATCACGGTTATCTCATTAAAAAATTTATGTGCTTTTACACTTGTTTTGATAGACCTAGTTAAGGGTTGCACATGAGGAATTCGTGAAGGATCACGTATTCTATGGAGGTGTAGAACAAATAAATAAAATTTCTTCATCTAAGGGCCCAAGATCAAGCTATTGAATCTATTAACCATACATGCATGAATTTAAATTAATAAATAAAGGATTAACTCTTGTGGTGTAGATCCAAATTCTTTTATAAAAAAAGCTATCTAAGTATCCAACTTTTATTGATAATCCACACAATCTAAGCATCCACAAAGAAACACTCAAAATCAATAAGGTGCTAGCTCTACCTTTTTGGATTTGTGTAGTGTTTCCTATAAAAATAAATCCCGGGTAATTTTGCCACAACCTTAAAGAGAAGGAAGAAGTATATTTGTGATAGGGTTTTTGGAGAAAACTATTTTCTCCTTTTTTCTTCACTTTGCTATGTGCCCTAGTTAGTTTTTAAGGTCGGCCAAATTTTTTCTTTTTCTCTCTCTTTTTGCTTAGATGTTGTACCCCCTCTCTCTCTCTTTCTTATATTTATAAGAGAGTTTCCTTGTTTTTGAAAGGGGCGGTATTAAGTCCCCATTAGGACTTTAGGTTATTGTTTCCTTACCCTCAAAGGATGAGGAGTTATTTCTATATGTAGACTTTTGATCATTATCTTCAAAACATTCATCCTTATCCAATAAGGTTGATATTTATCCTCTTACCAAAATATCTTAAGGCTTTTAATTAAACCTAATAGGCCAAAACCATTTTAACCCAATTAATTTATTTAAACTATCCAAATAAATAATTTTAGATTATTTTAGGTGGATCCATATTAGGAATCAATTTTCCAAAATACCCTTTAACCTAAATTAGAAAACTCATTTTAATTTTAGGTTATTTATTTTCAAATTTGGAACTAACTTCTAAATGAGGAAATTGATTTCTAAAATAGGAAACTTTCCATTTTAAGAAACATCCTATTTAAGAAACTTTTCATTTTGAAAACCCTTTCCAAAATAGAAAACTTTCATAATTGGAATTTTTTTTCAATATTTTTGCTTCTCATTTATAATGTGAATACTTAAACTTATGTGTGTAACTCAATAGGCTACTAGATAAGTTGGTAATGTATCAAGAATAAAAGACTCTTCTTTTATTTCTTGATGCATAAATCAAGATCGACCTCTAGCAAGGCATCACGACTATCCAATTTTCTAGGAGGATTAATTAATCCATTATTATCTTTTATGAGCATGATTATTACACAATTCAGTCATTATGTCAACTTATCACAATGTGATCTCGAGCTTGGTTATAAGTCTTATTCGATTATGATTACATAAGTTTTCTTCGATTCCTAAATGTCTTGACTCTTAAAGTAAAGTAATTATGCTCTATTGGTGTACTCCTACTATGGTTATAGATTTCTTGAGCGGACATTTATCGAAGTGCAATGTGATAACTCCTTTAGCATATAAGGAATAACATGTCATATCTTATTCATACACCTATCTCTATTAGATTTTTAATGCACCCAACGAATCACCTACATGTAACCTTTTAATGGGTCGATCAAAATGAGTGTCAAAGTGCATAAGTCCTCTAATGAGACAATCGTGATGACTTCAAGTCTAAGGATCATTTGTACTTATCTCGTATGAGATTTTCATAAACTAAAACAAATTGGGTTCTTATGAAAAGTCAAGTCCGATGATATGTTCTCTAACATAAATGACTTAAGTGTTTGCTTTGGCATCACCATGCCAATAGGTGTAAGTTCTCCTACTCGCTATTATATAGTATAGGCATAACACTCACAAGTCTATCAACATATAGTCAATATCCATTCTTGACAATGCAACGACTTGGGACGTTTAATGATATCATTTATATGAATTAGCATTTGTCTCACATTTTTTGATCAATCACTATCGTGAATGGATATCATAAAGACTTCTATCCAGCTTCTACTAAATTTATAAACATAAAACATAAGAATTAATAGAATGACTTCTTTATTATTATTATTAAAATAAATAATGCAATAATATATTAACTCAAGCTCATTCAAGCATAGTCGGATCTTGGAAACCTACACTAACAATTCGTTAGGTGCACTAGGAATATAATAGAGATTGGTGGATAACTAGATAGGATGTGTCATTCCTTGTATGCTAAAGGAGTTATCAATTGCTCTTCGATAATTATCTACTCAAAAAGTCTATGGTTATAGTAAAAGTACACTAATAGAGCATAGTTAGTTTACTCTAAGAGCTAAGCATTTGAGAATCGATGAAAACTTATATGATCATAATTGACCGGATTAATAACCAAGTTTTAGATCACATTGTAATAAATTGACATATGGATTGAATTGTATGGTAACCATGCTCATGAAAGATAATTACAGATTAATTAATCCTCTTAGAGAATTAGATAGTCATGATATCTTACTAGAAGTCAATCTTTATTAATGTATTAAGAGATAAAAGAGGTGTCTTTTATTCTTGATACATTGACAATATATCTAATAGCTTATTGAGTCACACATATAAGTTTAAACATTCACATGATAATAGAAGCAAAGATTTTGGAAAAAAATTTTCAATTTTAAAATTTTCCTATTTTGAAATTTTTTTTTCGAAAATAGAAAATTTCCTAAATTGAAAGTTTTCTTAAATGAAAAGTTTTCTAAAATGAAAGTGTAATAAACCGATACCCACTAAAACTACAATTAAATAAAATTTTAATATTAAACACATGTGAGAAATTTTTTGAAGGTATAAAATAATCTTTAAGGAGTTAAGCTTTTCGATGCATGAATAATAATTTTAGAATTAAGGACTAAATTGCATAAATTAAAAGTCTAATTTTTCAAATTAAATTATGTGGAAATTCTAAGGGTCAAAAATTGGTCCTAAATATTGGAAAGTAAGGAATAAAAGTGAATATTTGAATAAAAAAAAAGGTTTACTAAAGAATTGGCTAAGGAAATCTCTAGAAACATGAAGGATTGAAATTTGTCATCTTTCACCCAACTTTAGCTAACTTAAAGCAATAATTAAGTTTGTCGTGTAGTAAAATTTATGGCCAAAATTAAGCTAAATGGTAGGCCCAAACAAAAAGAAGAATAAATGGCAAAAAATTTAGCCAAATAAAAAGAAATTATTTGGAATTGAATTAGGGGTTGAGATTCATCCAAATTAAGGGTGGAGATGAAGTCAAAAAGTCTACAAAATTCATCTATAAATAGGGGTGCTGGAAAAATTAAAAATACAAAGAAAATAGAAAAAAACGAGGAAACTCTTCC